TTCATAATTAAAATTATGTCCACCAACACAAATAATTTTATTATCCTCAGTTGATGCTAATCCAAAACCCATACGACCATTACCAGGTATTCCAGGAAGCAAGATTAATTCTTTCTTGTTGTTGTTGTAACTATATACGAATGGCTCGTACGATAAAATGATTAATAGAGAGGTCAATTTTTCAGTGGCATCTTAGCAAAAGGTTATATCGAAATAGAACTTTTTTACGTTTTTAAGCAACTATTATAAATATGAAATTACTTTCATAAATATTTGTTTCTACGATATGAAAATGTTTTAAAATAACTATCAATTAAAGTATACATATATGTTTCATATTCTGGTACAACTATTTAGTAAAAGTGTCAAATCAACCCCTGTCTCTCTTATCATCTTTCCTTTAATCTCGATTTTTAATCTACAATTGCAGACAAACTTCCCTTTAAAGGATTAATTCTTTTGTAGAATGTTCGTACGAATGTGCCTTTTGATATACAGTATCATAGATCGAATTAGACATATAATATGCAGCAGAAATGATTCAATGAGTCATACCATCTGACATGATGTTTTATACTGAATTATTCATATCAGACTTGTTTTACTAAAATGAATCTGATTATATATGAATTGATAGATGAAGATGAAGTATTTGGAACGTAGCACATGCCTATTCTATGATGAACAACATCAAAGTATCAAGTGAAACCTGTATTATGTGTATAAGACGAGTCTTTCAGCAGATGAATCGACAAAAAACAGTACGTATTTGTTGTCATATACTACGCATACTATCTTCTTGGCAATTTGTGTTTTAAATTTTTGCTAACAAAATAATGTTATATAGATTCAAGTGTTTTTAGAACTACCCAAATACTATCAAACTTATTATGTAATATGCTCGAATTTTCCATGGCTTATCATTTAAAATCCTTCATTCACTGATATACGAGTGTATCGAGAAAACACGAACAGATCTTTGCTAAGATATTTACACTTTAGAAAGTCCTCCTTTTCGATCGTGTACTGTAAACCAGGAGCAAGGTTGACCTACGACTAAAATTCCATCATTTAGGTTCTCAGTAATTTTATGCTTATCAATAAAACAATGTTCGAGTGAAAGATTAATTATGCAAAAAGCCAAGCTCTAAGAACCACACCAAACGAGACATTTTAACTATTGAACACAATCAATCTAATAACCACAGTTCCTAGTGAAAAGCAATTTAATCGTTGAAATTTTCTTTCTTTACTCTAAAACACAAATCGCAAAACCTTCATCGAAGGAGAAAAGAATATTTCATCCTGTTGTTAGAAAAGTTCTTAACAGAAAAATAAATTAAACATAAACATTCGAACAATCGACCAAGATAGAAAACAAGCTATTGATTGCGCACAAAACATACATCCTACTTACAGATAATCATTATTTGGCACTCTTTTTTCTCCTGTTTTACTATCAACAATATAACCACCGAGAATAAAAACACTATCATTCATTTGCATAAGCGCATATCGTTTTCGAATTTCTTTTTTCTCATCATGTAATTGTTTTATTGCTTTTTCTTGCATATGCATCATTTGATTATCATTTATAGTTATGTTTGGAGATGTTACTACTGCATTTGGCCGACCCATTTCTAATGTTTCTTTTTGATTCTGAAACCGTTGAATATAACTTAGTTGAAGGGCTTTATCAAAATATTCACTTAAACAATTATCACATTTATTCGATAGACAATGAATTATCTTTGAAGTTGGTATTTTCACATAAGCCTATTCAAAACTTTATTTTTAATTTTAAAATTTGAATATATATACCTGAAAAATAGGTTCGATATAGGGCTGTTTGAAAGATTCAGCTGCTAATTGACAACAACATGGGCTTGTACACATGATATTACACTCATTTAAATAACTCATTATACAATAGAGAAAAAAAACAATAATATTATCGCGCGTGGTTATAAAATATCGTTTGATGAAAAACTAAAATTGAACTATTATGTTTAGAAAAAAAATTGAATAATAAAAAAGCAAGGTATCACTGGTTCAAATAACAAGAAAAACAACAATAAACTGGACGCATATTTACATCTATCTACTCGTTTTATTTTGAAAAAGCATACCAAACTGACAATAGATTCATTTCTCTATCGTCTTGTTTTTGATTTATGCAAATAATTTGTTTATTATCTAGTAATTTTTGAAAATAATTTTGAGCGATAAATTCATTTTCGACATAACCATGTGCAATAAACCATTGGCAAAATTGACTTTCCTCAAAGATTGTTTCGATAGAAGTATTCAGTCTAAAAAAAATCAATATATATATATATATATATTCTTTGCAGTGCGTTTATATTTTGTAATTCAAATAACAAGTTCAAAGTACATGCAATGGAGCAATCTTTAATGTTATTGTATGTTTACGTAAGAAAAAATAAATAAATATTAAATTTAGAAAAACAAGATCATAAATCAACTCTTCGACTTTTATCTCATGCAATGTATTAACTCGATAATTTTTTTGCTGTTCTGAATTAGATATGCCAAACAAATTTTTTTACAGGTTCGAAAAAGTACTATTGTATTTTTCAAAAACTCTCTTTTGATTTTTCTGACCTCTAAAGCATATTACGTATCTAACTTCTATGCAGAATCAAATTTACAATCGACAATTAAAGCATAAGCATAAGAAAAACACGAAAAAAAGGACTAGCACAATAGATATACATACTTGATGATTTCATTAGAAAACTGTTTCATTAAATGTTATACTTAACAGAATATTTTAATGAAATACTTCTTACTTTGAATGACTAATAAAGTCTGGTCGAATTTTAGATTCAAAATCGAATGAATCATCATTTTCTATTGATCTGTTAACAACATTATCACGAGGAGTATTTATATTTAAACCAAAACGATGAAATAATCTACGGAATCTATCAAATTAAAATCAAAAGTAAATTTTCTTTTTTTCTCTTAATCTTATCTTACCTTTGTGTTATGGGTACAAGTAAATCTGCGTCTAATGCAAAGACAAGAAATGTTATAATACCCTAAACAGAATAAAAAGATAATTTGAAAAAAAAGGAACAAGAAATTGAATTTCTTACTTGGCCATGCAATAGAACAGTATCGAAAAACCGTAATTCATAATAAATTCCATTATGATCATGTGCTAATAGTACCCATACTAAAGCTGATACGCACTACCATGTAAAAAAGAAAAGAAAAAGTATTCGTTATTGTTGATAATATATATTCAAAAAGGAAAAACTTACAATAATAGCATCGATAGTTAATAAAGCAACAAGTATTCCATGACGAAATAATTGATGATCACCTTCCAATGGTTTAATGTCTAAAATTCTCATCGAAATTTCAATTAAAACATAACAAAAACAAAAGTATCTACCTATAGGAATTTGTTGAATTTCAGTTTTTTGTTCAGGATTATCATCATCAATTAATGGACTTATTTCATGGTTATCAGAATTCGAATGAGTAGTATGATTAAATGATTGATTCTCAATCGAGTCACTTTTTAAGCGATATGTTCGACGAACTATACGTAGTAGACTTATTGTATTAATTATAGTGCACAAACTAAGTAAAAATATTGAAAGAATAATTTGAATTTTTCCAAATTTTTCTGATTCCAAGATCGTTTTCTCTTTTGATTGATCAACGCAAGAATAAAAATAAATAATCAATGATATCACTAATGGAACAATCCATCCATAAATATGATAAATCCAAGAAAGTCGACAGGCTAATCGATTTGAATAGCAAATCGTAATCATTAAAGCCATTGAAAGACTTGTTGCCCATGTTCGAGTAGTTAAGGCAATCAAAATACTACCTAAAAACAAAACAAAATTCATGATAATCGATTGCACATTGATTAACATATGCTCTAGCTCGAATTACGTAAGAATTACTTGTGAAGATACCTGAATCAACTTAAATGGGTTTCCTACAAAAGCGATCACAAATCTCTATAAGGTTATAGTTGTGCTTACACACACACACACACGCGCGCGCGAGATGGCGACCATATGGAAGAATATTTCGAACAGGGGATACCTTTCCTCATGTTAGTTACACTACAGTAAATATACTAAAAATACGAATACTGTATGGTTTTTAATTTATTTGTTAGTATAACTCAATCACTATATTAGAAGTATAGTGAAATAAACTTAAGTTAGAAAAGTATGTTTTCATTTCTCACAAATATTCAATTCACCCGTCATCTATAATGAATTTACAATAGAAGAAATTACAAAACGATTACCGATGTCAATTATTGCTGTTGCTACTGATGATAGAGGATGTGTAACGTGATGTACGACTATTGTCCAAATAGCTAATACCATTTGTAGACCAACAAAGATAAATGTATATTTATGAATAAAAGATATTTTCAACCATCGTCGACGTAAACAAAATCCAATAAGAACAATAATTGTACACAAGAATGAGATTATACTAACATCAAATATTGTTTTCGTAAGTAAGATCTCATAAGATTCTCGTGTTTTGAGATCAAGTGTACGCAAATTGATCATCTTAGCTGAAACAAGTATAATGGGTCCTGCAAGTAAAGTTGAAATAACAAGTCCAGTTGATGCAATAGCTTGTAAGCCTAAATTGGTTTCAGGTACATAGAATATCACTGATGGTGCTATAGGTGCTGTTCCATATAAGAAACCAAAATTTGAATAATCGATCGTGCTATTATAACTTCCATTTATTGGTTTAACAAGAAAGATAACTGTTTGACGTAAAATTAATGGAAATAAAATTGACTTAATTACACTAAGAAGAAAAACCGTAATAACAAGACGTGCATGTAAACGATTTAATTTTCCAGCCATTGTTAAACCGAGATAAAATAAAGCTGTGCCAGTAAATGATTGAGTTATTGGTCTTAATGTATATTCAATTATATGTGGTAAATGTTGTTTAAATATTTGATTAAATATAACACCAAGTAAAGTAAATATAACAATTGGATTGCGGCTTATATTGCGAAAAACTGCGGATATTAATTGAAATTTATTCCATGTTTTTCCTCGGGATTTTCGTTGGTCATCAATGCGTTTTTGTATTTCAATTAAAAAAAATCCAATAGGATTTAGTATTACAAGTGATATAGGTGCAATTAAATAAATATATCGAATAAATTCAGGATGAGTTTGTTTATAAACAGCTTCAATTATTGGAAACATTAATGCAAAATCATTACTTTGTGTTGCCATGATAGAATATTGACCCATGCTAGAAAAATTTCTTGGTCGTTCAGCTATAAATGTTAATATCATTGTTAAAAGGAATACAATAGTTTTACTAATTAGTACTGATGAAAGAAATCTCCACGAAACACTTTGAAATTGTACATCAACAAGATTTTTAAATATAACAGCAGGCAATGCAAAAGTACTTATATAACGTGAAAGCCCAGCTGAATGAGCACTTGTTAATAGATTTAATTGACCAGCTATGTAACCAAGACTTATTATAAAAAAACATTGAACAAGAGCTGGATAAAGTTCGCCATCGATCACCAATGGCATATTGTTGGTATCATTAGTCATCTTAAAAAAAAATATCAATATATATATATAAATCTAGGACTACATTTTTTCTAAAGAAAAAAAGAACAAGGATAAACGGAAGCAGGTTCTTCACTAGTAAAATTTCTTGTCAACACAAGTAGCTTAGAAAAACAAATATGATGAGAATAACAAGCATATCATACTTCATGCGTCTCTTTTATCATTGCAATAATATCAGTGAGAAGCAGAGTAAGAAGTATGTTGTAGATGGAATGCAAAAGGCATTTTTAAATTGCTAATAGAAATTAATTATACTTCTTTTTAAATGAATTTAACTAAACTAATTAACGATCTGTATAATGATATATATATAGATATAGATATATTTCAAGTTCATGAAAATCGTACAGTCTGGTTAATATGAGAGCTTCGAGCAAAGATCTCATACTTATCTCAATATTTTATAAATGTTTTGATAAATTCTCATAAGTATCTTTCTTGATTCAAACATGAGCATCAATGTGCCTAATTTTTTTCAGTATTCAAATTCACACTATTGAGGATCATCATATACAATCAGCAGATTAAAACTAACAATTTCATTTTAAAATACTAAATGACTCACATTTCTAATTACTCACTTATTATTCAATACAATGACATAACTAAATTGTATAATTAAAGAAAATCAAGGCTATTTCTTGCAGTTTCCTTTTAATTTTAATGAAAATTCTGCAAATTTCTCACCATTTCTTCTCTTATGCTCTGTCTTCAATGTAAACTTTATATGGTTACTATGTTTTACAGTCTAAACAGAAATAAACATTGAATTCATTGTAAGACTTCAAATGAAACCTATTTACAATCGACGAAGAAGATTATCTGGCTAAAACTGCACAAAGCATTTGCTTCTAAGCAAATAAATTGAAGTATCGTTGATTAACATAAATTTCTAATAGTGGAATTATAAACGGGGATGTAGTCAATCGACCAATCGATGAAAGAAAGAAAACATATTTAATACAATTAGCAATCCACGAATACTGATCACGACCACTAGATGTCAGGTATAATGAATACCTATAAAAATGAATCATATCTGTCATTCAACAGAACATTCGCAAAATATCAGGTAATTTGTGTCGCTCTTTCTGTTCTTTTTTTTCTTATTTGGTTACACTTGATAAATGGCTGAATAGCTTATTTTTTCAACTATGTTTCGAATAGTGTTTATTTGTATCGCATTTGTTACTCATTATTTGGTTGAAAGTAAATGAAACTGTAAATTTAAAATATAATTATGTTTAATAAATAGGTGTTGTAATTGAATATCCACACAATAAGCAGATTGAAGAACGTATAAGAAAAGATATCGATTCGATTGATTCCATTTTTCGTTATTATATTGTGCCACGGGAAATTCAGTTTCATGCAAGTGCAATTACAAATGGTTTACCGTATTTTCTACTATGTAAAGGATCGCAGAAGTCAATTAATTTGACTGTTCCAATATCTGCAGTTAAAGTAGGTAATTGCTAAATATTACTATATTCTGATTAAAATTCAGAACGAAAGAGAGAATAAATAAAATTTGTAAATTGGATTATTTATTTTTTAAATCATACTGAAAATATGTTCGAATTGACTGAAATATAAAAAATAAAGACAGATTTCATTCAAGAATAACGAGCAAATCAAATTGATGACGTATTAATATAAAAAGGACTGAAAACAATTTCTAACATAAATATAATTTGATTTTGTTAAATATCAAACGTTTCAAGGTAAATATTAAATTCAAGTTTATTATATGCTTCATAACTATTGAAGTTCACTGACTGAATCTGATAGATTTGAATAATAACTAATATTAATTTGAATCCAATCATTATAGAACGATATCGTCGAGATACTCTAAATGGTTCTCGACAAAAACAGTTTATCAGCACAATCCCTATAGGACTAAAATGTGAAACTCACATGTATGCTTTAGACGTACAAAGCGGATGCAAAAATAGGCTAGGTGAAAATCTTTCGTAAAAATCCGCGCTGCTTCTAAAATCTGTAATAGGACATTACGTATTTCTTATGCCTCTAATGGTAGAGAGAGAGAGAGAGACATAAAATCCTAATTACAACGATTTCTAATTAGCTAAGTCAGATTTTAATTATTCATATTTGTAATGAGAACGATGGATGCTTTGGGGGTCGCAAAAAATTCTCCCCATAAAACTTACTATTTTCATTATTTTCTTCGAAAATAAACGTGAGTTTCACAAAACCAACAGATATCTGAAAGCCCCATTTGAATATTTTGTTTTATACTTCAACTTATACTCATTTCAATCGTATATCGAAGGGGATGAATTATTTTTATTGTTGCTGTTGAATATAGCAATGAAATGAACTCACACATTTGTCAACGATGTTTGATTTTAATTCTAGAGAAAAAAAGAAGGTGATATTGGACAGACTACACTAAATATATTCCCTCAGTAGAAATATCTAAAAAGTCTTGAATCTACATCTATAGTTTCTTCAATCTCGAGTAACAATCGAAAGAATTAATATTTAAAAAATAAATAAAACTCTCCTTTTAGGATTTATCCCTCACTACTGATGATAAAACTCATACAATCACGGCTAAATTACACAAAAATCAATCTAATATAAATCTTGTTGGACGTTACACATGTTCAGAAATAATTAAAGATAAAAATTATGAAACAACTGTTCATGTATTTATTCGAGGTATAGATATCTTTGATATTTTCTATTGAGAGTTCCATAGTAAATTTTTACATAGATAAAAATTCTGTATTCACTAAAAGCCTTCATTCGAAAATATTCAAACAAACTGGTATTCACTTCTTCAATATACCATGCCAAACTACAAATTGGTATCCAAAAATGTCATGTCCAATGGCAATCAATCGGGGAAAATGTAAATTACGTAAATGTAATTTACGAGAACGTCAAAGAAAAGAACTTAAATGTGATTTACCTTTATGTGATGAGCAAGATCGATGCATTCCAGTTTATTATACACCATCGGACTTGAAACCAAAAGTTAATTTCTAATATTTAGAAAAAAAAACCAATCAATTATATTGCTTTGCTTTTTCAGAAAGTGTTTTTTGATCCACAAATTGGTTTTGCTCTGGAAAATCCAACAATACCGAATGGCTTGACTGATTTTACTTGTAGGAGTAATTATACGCTCAGTAAAGAAGTGAAAATTCCATTCGATTCATCACCTCGTATAAGTCAACTTTTTCATACTGGAGAGAAAATTCATTTTTGAATTGTTTTTCTAGCTGATTATGTACGAATTCATCAATCAAGTTTAAGTATCATGAGTGACGAAACATTAAGACTATCTTGTGAAATTCAATACGGAACAAAAATTAATAGAAAAATGCCAACACTTTTTTGGTTCGAAGATATTTATAATGTAAAATATTCATCTTTATAATTATCTAAAATTGTTGTCTGCTCTCTATTTAGCTTAATTTAATATTAAATCATACAGAAAAACCTGTATTTAATCTCAAAACACAAGTCTATAATAGAAATAGTTCAATAACACTGCGTGGTTTTAAACCTAAACATGTTTATCGATTTTACTGCGTACGTGTATCTGACCATGGACTTTACTCACATTCGATTGATATCAGTTGTGTTAATAGTATGTATCATTGCAATATAAAGAAAAAATTACTGTGCGAGAAGAATGACTTAGGGAATAAACATACGGAACAAGTTTTTATTTTGATACTCTTCTGAGGTATATCATGATTTCATTCTGTATGAATGTTTTTGATTGTGATAACTAGGATAAAGTTTTTCTACAGGCTGTAATCTAGTTGAGAAAGAATTTTCTCAATCTTAAAATATCAAAAGTAGATATTCTCAAATAATTTGAGAACATTATCTTCGTTGTTTTTCTCTCAAATATTTAGTAAAAATTCTTTATCGTATCTTTTAGCACCAGTACTCGATGTCGAAATCGATTTAAATGAGTCTAATGTTGATAAGAAACTTTCCTATGGATCAAGTAGTGTCTATGACATAAGTATTTATACTGTTCCGCGTTCATCTGTGATCATCGAACTATCACGTGATGGAATTTCACTAGCAAATGATAAACGCTTCGAGATATTATCTACGTAAGTATATGAAAATTTCATTAATACCAAATAAAAATCAGTGACTTTTATTATATTCTTTAGAAATAATCAAGAAAATCAATATTTCGAATATGTATTGAAAATACATAATATAACATATGAAGATGAAAAAGATTTAAAAATAACTGTTAAATCATCGCTATTAGAAAAGACAGAAATCATTAAGCCGACTATAATCGGTAGGAACATTGAAAACATTGGTATTGATTTCTTTAATTTCTTTTTTCAAAGGTGATCCGGTCGGTCAATTTTCATTTACTACTGAACAAGAATTTTCAGCGATTCCATGGCGCGATGAAACTAATTTACGTATTTATTCTTATGGTGTTTCCGAATATGATTCATATCGTATTGTTTGTACAATCCGTCATCGATCCGATATAAAACAACCATTGAATGTATATATTCAATATTCTACTTGTTCCATTGATGATTGTTTATCGAATTTAATTGATAAGACATGTCAAATATCGTCAAGAACAACTTTGATGAAGACTATATCGAACCCTATAAATAATTATCAAACACAATTTGTAAGTAATCACTCGCATAAACTTACTGCTTCATCGATTGGACATCAATATTTGTGTTGTTATCAAGAAAATGGTTTAATTAATATCGCTAAAGGAATAACAATTTTATCACGTAAGATTCTACTCAATTTTCTAATATGACTAAAAATGATGTTTATTCAAGGTAATCACAATATGTTTTATGCAAATCGGCCAGAATTTAGTTTAGTTAAGGGTGATATTTTAACATATAGTTGTGAAGGGCATCAGTTGATTTATAATAATCTTCAAATGATTTATAATGATGGTTATTCGACATATGAAAGAACTTATTTCGATAATGAGTGGCATCTAAAAGGAACTAATCAAGTGAAACGCATCGATATACGTTGGAATTCAACAATAAAGTAGTAAGCCAGATTTTCGAAATTCTGTTTTTCATTCTATTATTATATTAGTCAATATATTCGAACTATGAAAATTGAAGTAAAAACATCACCATTAGAAATGACTGATAATAATAAATACTTTCAATGTATTGGTCTATCGAAACAAACAAATATTATTCCAAATGCAAAAGATACATATTCCATCAATATTGATAGTAATTTTAAAATGCAGATTATCATTTTTTGTTTCTTATTAATTTAATTTACTATAGATCCATTACCATTGCAATTTAAAAACTATTTACAAACAGTATCTCATTTAAATCGAAAATCAGGTGATAATGTTGAATTCGATTGTAAATTCGATGGAAGACCAAAACCAAAAGTAAGTTGGTTTAAAGGAAAAGTACATCTAAATAATCAAGATTCAACATTGAAGCTTGCTGATAACAATGAAAGGTAAAATAATTTATTGGGCTGAGTATCTGACAGTATACTATCTTTCCTGAGAAGTGTAGAAAACATAGGTGCTGTGTTTTTGTTTGATATAATAGAAATCAAATTCCAGTTTTACTTTCAAGAAGAATCATTTTACGTTCGAGAGTATGTTCTTAACTCAAAATAAATTGGTACACTATTAGAAACTTACCTGTCGAATGTTCAATAGTAAAATATCAAATGTCATGTTAATTAGACAAAACCTGTTGAGAATCTTTTTCGCGAACTCTCATATATATGTTTACCGTCATTTTATCAAATAATAGAGAATTCAGAACATTAATCTTGCTTTTGTTCCTTTCTATGCGGCAATAGGGAACAGATAATCCAATTGATGATTGATTTCTTTCGAAAAGGATATGATATCAATTTCGTTGGTGATCTAATTTAAGAATAATATCATTCTCTATTCAAATTCAAAAAGAGCAAACAAGTTTTTATTGATTTATAATGTATTCTGATTGAAATGAGCATCATTTGAGACAGAATAATAATGATTACTATAATGAAATCTATTTTTTACGATAGCATTACAATTAATCGTCTTCAAGCATCCGATACTGGCTATTATACATGTGAATTAAACAATGGTCATGATAGAATACTTCGACGAAGTTTTGATTTACGTGTTCAAGGTAGGCGAAAAGAAAGAAACAACAATATGATTTTTTTTTCTAATCTTCATCTAGGTACGAATACACATTCAAAGTTTGGTCGTTTAACCGGTATATTTGTTCTGATATCAAGTGTCATTGTTCTGATGATGCTGATTTTATTAATAACAGTGGGAACAAAATATTTTCAAATGAAACGCATTGTTAATAAAAGTATTTTTTCCGAACACCAATCCATCGGTCCCGAAGATAAATCTCAATCAGCAATGAGTCAATTAACTCGAATACCATTGCCAGATAACTTTGCTTCGACACATCAAATTCGTACATTACTTGGCTATGTCAATGGCGATGATCTACCGGCAACAAGCGATGATTTCAAAGAATTAGGCCGTGGTCAATTCGGTGTTGTTTATCAAGTACGTTTACCCGAAGTAGGTCTCGTTGCAGCTAAAACTTTGCCTGATACAATACGTCAAATTAAACATGGTCGAAATAAAAGTAAGAAAAATCATGATTGGGAAGAGAACCAAGGAATGATATCAAACCATGAAATCCGAAAGAAAAAAGCTGCAGAAATGTTAATTGATGAAATAAAAGTTATGAATAAAGCTGGTAAACATGTAAATATTGTTGCATTGAAAAAAGTTGCTTATCCCGAAACAAGATTTAAACTTTTATTTCATGGTGGACCGATTCGAGATGAAGATTCATTTTATTTGATGGAACTCTGTGCTCGTGGCTCACTTGAAAATTTGCTTAAAAACTTTCCTAAATCATCATCGAATTCATCGCAGGAAAAATTATCATTATATGAAACCCTTTCGAAACAGCCACAACTGTTAATGACAGTTCACGAAGCATATGAACGATGTATTTTAACTGTTGATGATTTGAAATTAGCAGCCTATCAAGTTGCTCGTGGTGTTGATTATTTAAATCGAAGGCAAATAGCTCATTGTGATATTGCAGCAAGAAATGTTTTAGTTGATTCGAGATATATTATGAAAATATGTGATTTTGGGTAAGAAAATTTTAGATATTAATTCGTAGATATTGTTTTCAAGTAAATAAATCATTACTCAGTTTAGCGACATGGACAACTTATAAGAATTATCGTGAACAATTTACACAAAATCACAGTGTGCAACTTGAAAAGAAAAATGTATGTATACGAAGTTGATATCGGTTGACTTTTTATTTTCGTGAGAAAACTACCGCGTTTCTATTATTAAATACGTTAATACAAAAAGCTTATATTTATTAGTTAGAGAAGTGGTATCACTTTTATATCCTAACTCTCTTAAATATCAATTGTACTGCTCCGAAATCTATATCAATATTGAGCCAATAGTATGACATATTAACAATGAGCAGTACTTGTTATTTTTCAGTCAGATCTATGTTTGTATAGCGATGAATATTGACTCTTTAAAATTATTATCTCTGATTGTATTAGTCATAAATTTAGTAATTATAAGTATGTATACTCCTCTTTATTGTTTTAAATTTAATGGATGATCTATCAAAGATTCGAGGATGAAATTCCACAAAAATTGACTCGTTTACGTATCTAAATATATTCATTAGACCCTATCTCTATCAATTTTTTATGAAGCAATGTTTTGAGAAGATTTAGTTCCATTATTTGTATAGCTAGTATAATCTTTTGAATCATGTTCTTCTTAAAATAGAGTGAAATTGCAACACATAATTTAACACCGGAACTAGCAAAAGCTTTCCTATGTGCATCAACTCCAGATGAACGATTATTATTAAATAAAGCATCGATTAAAGCTGATGTGTAAGTTGATTTTTTTGGATTGATTGTTTTTTTTGAGCTTTTGATGAATAGATGGTCTTTTGGAATATTTCTTTGGACATTATTTCTTAAATGTAAGTATATCAGTTTGTCTAACTATTTTATATATATAGCCATTTTAAGGTCGAATTCGTCCATTCAATAAACTATTGGAAGAAATAAAACGTAATTCTAAAGGTGAAGATTTTTTTCACCAACTTGCTAGTGTTATCAATGAAGGTCATGTTCTTCACTATATTGATTATCAACCAGAAATACCTAGAAATATGTGAGACAATATTGCTGTTTGTGTTTTTTGTTTAAATGATTTGTCGGTATGCAAATAGTTATGCAATAATTCGTGAATGTCTTGTCGAAGAAAATCATCGGCCAGAAATGACAAGAATTCGTGCTTTTTTATGCCATTCAAAAATGTTATCAAAACAACCTTTTGAAGTATTTTTCTTTTCTTCATCTTGAATTCAATCATTTCTTATTTTTCTGTCTACTAGTATTATCGATCAGAATATAATCGATATCAAGAAGAAAATGCAACAGATGAAAATGTTGAATATTTTGGTGAAGATCAAGGCGTCAGTAATCTTCCATCATTCGAAGATGATAATGGGACTAATGATAATGATGATAGTTTCCCCCCAGCATCGAAAGATGATGGGTATTCATCACCTATAGATAATTCTCGAAAACAATCTGATTCATATCTCGTACCTATCAATGATAATCCTCGAATCACTACCAATACTAATAACTCAAAAGAGATTACAACTAAACCAAACATTCCTCAAGTTGATATTCAACCTATGCGGCCAACGAGACCTGCACCACCACCCCCAATCTAATAAACCAAATCAAATAGACTATATAGATGATTGGTTTTTTTTTATAATATACGTATCTGTATATTGAAATATTATTTGACAGTAGCTTGTAGTATTTACAGTTCTTCTAATGCTTTACTGTGATTTTGCTGACTTTCTTTTAACGATATAGTTTATCTATTTTTATTTACATATTTCCATTTTATAGTTTAATAAAATATAAATACAAATGATGACCAAATTTTATGTGAAGTAGGCTTATGCATTGTTTTTGTATGAAAATAAAAACGAATTCTATTTTACGAACATAGTAATCGAATTTTGTTTTTGCTTATTCAATTTAATCCCTTTGAATTCTCAAACTAGTGTATGACAAGAGCATAGTAATCTTTAATGAAAATATTAAGTGATTAACAGTAAATTTAAAAGTATGAAACAGTTAGTCTATATGTTGTTATTTCATGGATTAAGTTTTCAACAAATACTAAATTTGATCTGATTTCTGTACTTATCTTTTGTTTTATTCTCGTTCATTCCTTCATCGGTATCAACACTTAACGAATGGTGCATACATTCAATAAATATCAAAATCAATAAATCTAAATTGGCATTCATTTAACGAAATCATTATCGAATCGCATAAGTAAATCTTTTAGCACTACTTTAAAAAATGTTTTAGTCATTATCGAGTGAGAAAACTATCAGTATGCATCACAAATATACTTTTAATTATGGAACTGATATATATATTGCGATCAACCGACCAAATAATGAAGTCATTTTTTTTTGGCAAATCGAAATCAAACAAATGCTATAAGTAAATACACACTATCTGTTCTTGTGATGTATATTTTTACTATTTGATTTCAATTTGTTATTTTTTGTTGAATATATCAATCGATTAGCTGAAAACCTTGATTTTTCTTCAAATATTCATTATCATAAAAACAACCGAACTATAATGAGCTGCACGACAGTTACTAATGAAGATGTTTTGAGCTTGAAATTAATACGTCGTTACGATGGCAACAACTGAATATTGCCCATTTTCTGACGAGGTTATTGTAATATTTCGCAGATGTTACTTTAGCATACATCTATGCAACCTATAATCTCATAGCGACAAGCGATCTACCATGAAAACTAGTTCGACTAAGAGTTGAATGATGCTTTATTGAGAATAATAAAAATAGAAAAATCATTAATTGAGATATTCAGCAATTCTGTTCAACATGGGCCCAATACGTTGGTCATTAACAGATTCCACATCTAGTCGATTCATTGCAAAAGCGAATGAGAAATTTTTTGATGGTGCGCAAAAACCGATGCTTCCACCAAAACCTATAATTGAGTATATCAAATGTGAATGAAATATTCAAGCGTCTCATTTCTAATTACCCCCATGGCCAAAACTGTTTGCTCCAAACTGTGGTAAAATCTCATCATATAGTAAAAATCCCATAGCAAAAGAATTTTTTATTTGCATGGATAAATCAATTTCGTCTTTCAGTGTGTTCGATCGAGTAGCTAATTTTAGAGTATCTTCGTTTAATATTCGTTTGAATCCTCCATTATCTAAATCACCAATTAATCCTGAATAGAGTCTAGCGACAGACCGAGCAGTAGCTATTCCGTTTGCTGCCGGTATTTCTGCTCTATGTGTACGAGGATCATTAAATTGAGTCAATGGAATAAGGTCAGATTCATTGGCGCCATTTATCATGGCTTTACCCAATACTAATGGTGATACGAGATGTTCCCTATTTTCAGGTAGGCCAATAGAGAAGTCGATATTAATTAAATCCGAAATCTCCTCTTTAACAAATTGACCCAAAGATCGCTTCTTTGGATCAACGCGTCGAATGAGTTCACCAGCAAGCCATCCATAGGTCAATGCATGATAGCCATGCGCTGATCCAGGTGGCCATGATGGTGCCATCTTTTCTAATTTATGAATCATGACTGTCCAATTCATATACGTTTCGAATGGTTCGTTTATATCTGGTAGACCAGCTCGATGTGAGAGAATATCAGATACCTTTGTATTTTCTTTTCCATTTTGTCCATATTCAGGCCAATATTTAGTTACTAAGGCCGAATAATCGAGAAGACCCTGCTGAACAGCCAGTGCTACGGCTGCAGCAACTAGACCTTTCGTAGTTGAGAAGACCAACTGCAAGGTGTTGATATCATAAGGTTTGGTTTGCGATTGATCAAACCATCCACCTCCTAATTCAAAGACTAATGATCCTTGATGATAGGCAGCTACGGAAGCACCAAGATCTCGTTCCTGTACAAAATTGTCTCGAAATATATCTCGAACGAATCCCCAACCAGGCTTTATAAAACCGCGAATGTTATAATCAATTGGTTCAGAACGAACCGCTATTGAAAAAAACAAGAGAAACAAAGCACAAATGATATGATGCATCATTCAGTGTGATTTAATAAATGAAATTTCATGGCGATGATCAAGAGTGATTTGAATAAATAGCAATCTTTGAGGATTAAAGAACAACACAATAATGAATAATAAGTTTCAAAGGTCTAGAGATTTTTTTGCCTTCTTAAATAATAAAGAGATTAATCCATTTGGTATCCAATGAAAAAAAACATTACGTAAATTGAGACTATCAAAAATAGGAGATCTCTTTAGATTCGATTGATCTAATAAGATATAATCCATTAGAGATTTTGCTTTTCAAAAGAAATAATAGAGAGAGAGAGAGAATCTAAATCTAGGCTCACAAGCTCGTATGCCTATGTAGTAAAATTGATTCAACTAAGAAAAGGTTATTTTTCTGCCAGTAGTGATGACATGTATCTTACTGTATTATCCAGATGTCAATAGATTATTACTCATCTTTACTATTAATGTGACCTCAAAATTAAACTATGCCAAATGACAGATTGTTCAGAGCATGATGATTTTCAATGAACTTCCCATAGAAAAAATAATAATAATATTCTTTTAGACCAGTTTTGAAATCAGTTTTATTCAATTTAGTATACTAGGATCACTTTACATGGATCATATTTTTATGTAGTTTTTGTTCGAGGAATCTTTGATTATCGGTGACAACATACGTTACAAGGTCTCATCAACCTCAAAGCAGTACTACTTGTCATAATACCTTTTAATTCTATATTTTCATGTTGAAGTTGTATCTTGAATAAAATTATATAACCCTTCAAGAACATCATTGTTGTTTTTACAAACTTTCATTACGAAAACTAAAAACTGCTTTTGATCTGTCAAAATAGATTATAAATTTATTTTATCTAATATTTGTTTTTGTTGAAAATTTTGATATTTACATTAGTAGATGCAGTATTTGATAGAAAATCTTCTAAAGTTATCAGAATTACATTTGCACAGAAATATTCCTACTTCTCGAATTTTTCGGCATGAACATATTTAACTCATTGGTGTAAACAAGAGATGTGCGGAAACTTCTCGTTAAAAAAAATCTACATATACATTCACAACATTATCTGTTACTTTATGTTCAATAACTCTTTTTCATTAAATAGTGTCCTGATAACATATTTATCTGTCTGAAAATTTAGCTATTTTAATTGGGACAAGCAAGTATGTGAATATCTAATTTTTACTTTGCTTAATTAAATATTCTTTAATCATATTTATATTGAACTCATTTTTTTAAAATTTATTTATCTAAATAAGAATTGTGGATAATTAATGAATATGCGTATGTGAGAAAGTGTTGATCATAGTGGTTATCTTAGTAATGCTGCATATTTTAAGCCAACATATTGAAGAAGAAAAAAATGAGTACATGTAATAGAAGTTTATCAAGTGAAGTTGTTTAAATCATCTATCATGCAGGAAAAAATTGATTCAAGTAATGTCGTGCTTCGCAATCATTTCGAATATTATTGACTTTCATCTGTATCCGTCGATGGGATGCGAAGACCATGATGTTGCCAACGAGTATTTATTCTTTTCAGAAATGTAATTCATCTTTTCAAAAAGTGATTCTGACTTTTCAAATCACGATTGTTCATTTTGAATTCACGAATCTGCTCTGTTTTGTCTGAATTCAATTTTAGTAACTAAAATTAAAAAAGGTACGTTTGATTTACAGTAATTCAGAGGCTGTATCAAAAATCTTCGTCCAATTTAGAAAAGTAGTTTTTTCTAAGAACAAAAACTTGACTCACCGTGCAGTTAGAAAAGGTTTACCATTTGAATATGTGTGTGTTGTTCTTGAATTTGTTTCTCTTTTAGATATATTTGCTCTTGTTGTTGGTTTACTGTGTGCTGATATTTAACAATCTGATGCTGATCTTGTTACTGTTGTTTGATTAATTTACCGACGTTGTTTCTGTATTTGTGCTGTTGTACATCTTCATCAGGCTTCTTAAAGGTTATTTTCTATAAAAAAAAAAACAAAAGGATTTAATGAGTTTTTTAAAACTCATAACGTAAAACAAAGAGATGGATAGTTGTGGTAGAGGTATCGACAGAAAAAATATTGGAAAAATGTCGAAAGCAGAACATCGAAGAGAAAACAAGTAGAAGATTAACAATTTATGCAAACTCAAAATTGAACGAAAACATATTGTAAAATGTGAACATATGAGTATTTGCAGTTTCAAGATTTTCTGTTTGAGAATATTTCAAATTCCAAATATAGAATTACAAGTGTACAACACGAAAACCATACAAAATAGCTTAAATCAAGCATGCAAAATGCATGTAGAAAATGAAAACTATAACATTGTTTACTTCAGGTTTAAAAAGGCCAAGCATAATCTTGAAAAAAAAAGTAAAATCATAAAAAAGCCTTTACCGATGCACACCTTATATGTATCAATACTATCTATAGCAAAAGCCGATTCTTGTTTGAGTAAAAAATAGACAATGATCCAGTATTCTCTTATGTGCCTATTGAAACCGAGTGCTGATGCTTCTTCATTCATTTTTACAATGCATGATATTACCATTAACATGCTATGGCAATGAACTAAGCTATGCAATTAAATAAACGATCTCATCTTCCCTCGAGTTTAGTACCCTGGTCAAACGAAACGATCCGTGAACGGTCCGTTACGGGTACAGTAATTTCCCGTTATAACACGAACAGTAATACGGTTTATTCCTAGATAGAGTACGACATTATTACGAAATTTTTTACTCCGTTTACGATAATGTGATGGTGGTTTACGGTGATCCGTTTTGATCGACCGAGGTACAATCTATTTCATCAACATTTTGTTTAAATGACTATAAGTTACTACTTCTTTGTTCTTATTAACTTTATTGAGTTTCTAATATTTTGTTGCTGTTTTATCATTGTTCATCTTTTAATGTCTGCAGTTTCTGTGAAAAATTTCACGATAAAATATCAGCCAAAATGAATTAAGAACGTATCCACACTAATAATGAGAGGAAATTCCAAGTCTTGCCAAATGATCTATAAACAAATGTGTTACTTTATGGAAAAAAAAAATATACCCACTCAATTATTTCAAAGAGCTGCAAGATTCGTTTAGAAAAGAGATTTTGTTTATCGCCAGCCAAGATTTTATTTGTTATTATTAAGTTCAAATAGAAAATATACGAAGAATAGTATCTGATTAAATTATATAAAAACATTGTTTAGCTGCTATCTCATAGATAAGTTAGAAAAAGAATAATCAAACAAAAGATGCACTATGATACACAAAAAAAATACAATTTTGTATTTACTGAGTCTAGGACACCTTCAACTTCACATTCGCTTTCGCGTTGCATGCTTTTACGGATTTCTATTGATACATAAAATGAGGAATTCGAAGTTTCGACAGAATGAAAAGTGAAAAAGTGACTTGTAAATTTTACTCAGTAGGTATCTGCTTGATATTTTATTTTTATGAGCAAAATGTAAAACACAATATAAAATCTATAGTGCAAGTAACATGGATACTTTGTCAGAAAGGCTGATACCTTCAGACAGGAACGCTGCCCAATCATTGTTTAACATGTATACAACAGGACAAATATATATATATATTCCCTCTACTGAAACTAGGATATTACGAAAAACGAGTTAAATGCGTTCGTTCGTCCAATAGGAAAGCAGATGCATAAACGTAACTAACCTCAAACAATATCCTGTAGGGATAGGTTTGACCGAAGGTAATCGGGGTCGGGGAACTGTAATCTGGCGTGAAATTTTCAGAGTTTATGATCCTCAATTTTTTTAGTGATAAAAACGTTTTTCAAGAAAATAGTTTTCCTTGTAAAGTTTGATCAGATGCTGTCGGGCTCGAGAGAGTCGAATCGGATAAAATCAATATGCCATCAAAACAGAAAAAAATGTACTTAGAATTAGAGAATCACATTTTAACAAACATGATTATTAAAATTCAGGTGGCTTATAGGTTCTCGACTTACACAATAGGAAAAACAGACAATGGGTAAAATATTAATATCTTTGAATTAGTATGATGATTAGTAACATGAACTACATACGTTTTGCTTCATCTTTTCATGAAAGTCCTAGGGTATTAATGAACAAATCTGAAAGTATTTCATATTTTAAAAAGGTAGATGCATCGTTTTCATGAATGTATTTCAACTCCCTTGATTTCAAGCTATGAGTAGGGATATATTTTATTTTTCAATTTAGATCCCTTCAAGCAAGTTTCATTTCTTTGTTTTTTTCTAAAATATACAATTATTTAAGTGACTAGAAACTTTGCCTAGTCAATTGTCTTACTCGAACTATTACACGTTGTTTAGCTTCATGAAGTTTTATATTTATATGATCTGAGCAATATAAGCTACCTCCGAATTAAATTCTGCTAAATCTTTCTATTCAAATTTTCGTTATAGAAAAAAAAACTAAGGATACGAATTTGAGAATGAAAATGTTGATCATTTATAAACAGTAAGCAAGACGAAGGTTTTTATCTGATTGCATTATTCATTTTCACGAAAACTTGACAACCGCGAAAAGCCTGTAACATATTCCACATCCGTTGACCTTGAAGTTAGATAGTGTTATCACCAGTATTTTGTCTCATTTTAACAGCAACGATGTTTACATTCATACAATTCAGCATCAATAAGTAAACATATTCGGCCTTTTATTTAAATGATTGACTATTAAATATCTATTGATTTTTAGGCTAAGGAATTTTCAAGATTTAATGAAACTTATGAACTTAATTGTCAACTTTTTAATCATGGTTAAATCAACGCCAAGTCTGACTGCATGAAATCGACTAAGCGAAAAATATGATCCATATTTTACATTGCCCAAGTCAAATTCGACGGGAGAAATCGAACAAAATTTGTAGCATATAGAGATCTTAATTTTAGTAAAATCAATGTTTCATCATTCACATACTTATTCATATATAGATTGTAGATGTTGAACTACATTATAGTTTTAAGATTAAGGCAAGTTCGCTATCATTGGGTGTGGGATGTGGGTGCCCAGAACGCCAACACCCACACCCACACATCCCTTTTATCTCAATTTAAAATAGAATCCTAGTCTGTTAAAATAGAATAATCGAAAGATTGAGCAGAGGCTTAATGTCTCGTCTTTTAGTTACAGTCAACATTGATTTTTTTAAAAGAAATTCGTCACTTGAAATCACAGAGAATTAAATTTTATAGAGATAAGAATTTATTTTGCTTTGTCACCACCCCATCTCCTACTCGCTTACTGTATATTTCAGTGTTTCTATATGTAGTTGTTTTTAATAGAATTCATTTTATTGCGCGTTTTGAGAAGCATGAAAAAAGGAGCTAGAGCAAACAGAGAAGATAAATGCTGTCATATCGTAAAATACAGATAGGAAGTTATCAGGAAAAAAAATAGACAAACGATGTAGGTAGTAAGAATTTTTCCAACAATAACAGCAACACTTTATTTATTTCGAAATCTGGTTCGTGGTGAGTAAAGCATTAGGAAGATTGAACCATCTCTTTATTATTATACTAAACACATGAATAGTATCAATAGAATGATGAAAGAAAGAAGAAATTAAAGACTATTTTATGTGAATTTGTGGTCGAACTTGCGATTTTACTTAATGATGTAATTACAACATTTTGCCCCTTATTCAGTAACTATTTTTATACGTCAATCAGTCATGTTCAACACTCTATAAACAAACTCAAAATTTCATATATTTTTCTATGAAAATGAATGGGACATCACAGTTCTAGTTTTCACTAAACCAGATTAGGATAAACTCATTTTGAATCCGATAAACTGTCTCTATTGAATTAAAACTAAAACTTCCATATTTTTATGAATAGAAAGTTTCAGCCAGCAGTTGTAAATTCTTTTTCGGATCGGCACTAACGTTATACATTACAAAATGTTAGTTCAAAGTCAATCCTTCTGCTGATGTGGCTATTTCAATGGTATAGAATAAAAACAAACTATAAGTTTACTTTATATTCATAAAGTTTCGTCACCTAATAAAGATGAGAACATTTCAGCAACAGAGCAATGTATCGGCTATATGAAGTGACTTCAATGTAGGGCTCATCTCATATAGAAGTCGACGAAAAAAGATAAAGAGATAGCTTTAGATTATTTAATACAGGGCGTCTTTTGATCATAGGTGTGTGGAAACTCTATCACCCAGCACACGTAACATTATGAGTTGGTACTGTAAGATTTGTTGCCGGTGGACACCAGATAGATTCTATTTTTTCGGAACTTGTTTTGTTTTTCAACGACTATAAATTTGTCAAATAAACTGTTAATCAAAACATATTGAATCAAGCACGATTCATTCTCGATTTAGAATTTTGTCCTAGCTATAACTTTTTTTTAAATTAAATCGATGGGCGTGGGTGTTGTCTCATAATCCTAACCACACCCATCATAGCCATCTAAATAATTCAATAAATACTATCTGAACTTTATATTACAATGTTTCAAAAGAAAAATACGGACGAGGAGGATTAACTACACATACATGACCCTATCTCTTTCTTTGATACTCATTATATTCGATTTCGTGATGGTTTAAAGGCGACTCGAAAGTTTCGATATTATTTTTGTTTATAGCATAATAAATATGACAAAAGCATAGTGAAAAATCTAAAACCACTGCAATATGTTTATAGTTAATCAGGTCAAATTTCGTATCTAGATTTAGCTTTTGATAATCGATTCATATTCTAGATTGAGATTATTTCTAATGGCGGCTAAGTTTACATCTGAGTCACGGCGTAGGTTAGCACTTGTGATTGGTATCGGTGATTATGAAAATGTCCGAAAATTACAAAATCCTCAAAATGATGCGAAAGCATTATCATCTCTCTTACAACGTATCCGCTTTACTATTGCTGATCAACACTTGGATCAAACACGCAATCAGTTGCAACATGTTCTTGTGGATTTTGAAGACTCAATACAATCTAACGATATAGTCCTGTTTTATTTTGCTGGACATGGGATACAATGGGAAGTATGTATTCAGAATTTTGCTGTTGTAAGCTACTAAGATTTTTTAATGAGTTTTATATGTATGATTTTAAGGATCAAAACTATTTGCTGCCAAAAGACTTTCCAGACATGGATGCAGTAGATGAAAAGAAAAAAGCTGAGTTTTTAAAAAAGAATGCCATTAATGCACAAGATATTCTTAACACATTAAGTGATAGAAAACCATATGTTACCATTTTTCTGTTGGATTGCTCTAGACAATATTTCTTAAGGACCACTGATATAAACAGAGGTGCTTTAAACGCAAACGAATATCAATCAGTTGGACTGACAGCGATGCACAAAGCAGGCTCTTTGATTGCTTTTGCTTGTGCACCTGGTGCATTAGTCGACGATAAACCTGAAGAAAAAAATAGTTTATTTATGAAACATCTTTTGAAACATCTTCCAACTCTGAATGAAGACATTGTAAATACACTGCGAAATGTGACTCGTGGAGTGATGCAGGATTCTAATTCAAAACAAATTCCATTTATCAGTGTTCAATTAAGACATAACAATATATACATGTGTGAGCAAACTGACGGTAAGAATAATAGTTTTCGATGGAGTGAAACAAGAGTTATTATAAGACGCATTTCATCGGCACAATGTATGAACATACAGTGAAAATGCAACTAAGCTACCATAGGTCATGCTAGAATTGAACTTAGCTGCATTTTATTCTATTACACACCTTCACACTTTACCGAAATAAAATTAATCGGTTCAGCGGAGAAGATCAGAAAGAATTAATACCACAAAGCGGTTCGTGTGATTGTGAGTGAGATTAAATAGAAACTTATGACTGAACACCAAACATCCATATCATTACCCTGCCCAACACTTGAAGCATATTGAAAATATCAAGTAAATCTATCAAGAAATATATATTATTGTTTTGAATTAAAGACTTTTCAACAGCGGCCATTATTGGCACAACTAATCCAACACGAGAGATACGTTCAAACAGCTCATCTCAAGTAATTTAAACTACTATTAGTGTCGTACATTTTTTTACATCTGTACCATTTTGTTTTTTAAAGATCGATACATCTTCAGCAGCTACTGACACTGCTGGAAACACTGGAATAGGCTCATTTACCAAAAAGGTGAGAAAAATATCATTTTAGAAAGTAAGTCTTAATCAAATATAACATCTTTTCAGATATCACGCATTAAAATTAATACTTCTATAAGCAAAAGTAAGGTTTCGTATCATTATTTCGCTGCCTTGAGAATTATTGGAATAATATCACTATCATTGTGCAGACCTGCTATTCTCACAACTAAAACTTTTAGATAATATAATCTCTTATCGAATTATTCTTCTTATT